CACTCTGGAAGGACTGGATCAAATTCTTCAGGCTGGTGTAGCAGCAGAATTGATATTATGCCACAGAACACCTGAGCGAGAGATAAGTAGCCTGCCTTATCTTAAAAATGAAATTGAAGTTCTTATTGAACCTACTAAAGACGTCACAAATGTGATTGTTAGCAAAAGGGCTGAAAATGGTAAATTCAAGGTGAATTTTACACCAAAAGTGCCGGGCGCCTATAACATTGAAGTGAAGATCAACGACGATAAACTTCCGAACTGCCCTTTTGTTACGCAAGTCACAGAACGTGAACTTGTTGTAGTCGGTGAGTTGAACTTGAAGCTATTTCAAGGAGATGAGCTTCACGATCTGCGTGGAATTGCTGTAAATACGGCAGGGAAGATTGCTATAGCAGATTGGATTGGACACTGTGTCTATATATTCGATAAAGAAGGCAACTGTTTAAGAAGAATTGGCAGCCAAGGACGAAATGCCGGACAATTTGACAACCCATGCTGCGTTACATATTTAAATGATAACGAGATTCTGGTTGCAGATCAAGGGAATCATAGAATACAACAAGTAGATGTCCGGACAGGAACTGCTGTAAGAACCTTTGGAAAATGTGGCAAAGGAAAGGGAGAGTTATCGAACCCGCTTGGTGTTTGCCTGGATGAACAACGCCGCATTGTTGTGACCGAGTTCAGCAATGATAGGATACAGGTCATGACACAAAAGGGTGAGACTATTACCATGTTTGGAGACAGCGGCCCAGAGAAATTCAATGGTCCAACAAGCTGCATTTCTTACAAAAACATGTTTCTCGTATCTGATAGAGACAATCACCGTATTAAAGTTTTCGATCGGTCAGGAACGTTCTTATTCAAGTTTGGTAAAAAAGGCTATCAACACGGACAATTTAACTGGCCGCTTGGTATGCTTGTAGACAGCTCCAATAACGTTCTTGTGTGTGATGGTGGCAATAAACGAGTTCAGCAGTTTTCTTTAGACGGTCGCTACACAGGCAAAACTATCACTGATTTACTACTTCCTATTGGAATAGCAACAGCTCCAGATGGACGAATTTTCGTGACTAGCTGTAGAGCTAACAAAGTATACATATTGAAGTAGATGAATTACTCACCAATTTGAGTAGCTTGAATGCCAACATATTGAAAGAAACGTTTTCTGTGTCATATATAAATGACTGAAACATCTCACTGTATTTTCTCTCAGTTATCTTTGGTATCGTTTCTCATAGATTTTTTTCAGCACAGCATCGGCCTTTTATTTATCCACTGAGTCTTGCTTGTGTGGAAATTTTCTTCATTACTGATCTCGTCTCTCGCAGCTGACAGCAAACAACATCAACAAAAACATGCAAGAGAAAATAAGGATCTAAATTGGTATTTCTCTTGCTTTTATGCATTTCCACAAAAACACTAATATTTCTATTACAATGAAACCCAGCGGACAAAGCGGCATTGTATGGCGACAGATTGATCCTAGTTTTCTCCATGAGCAAGAGGAAATGTAATTGTTGTAGATAATAAATCATTACAGATGCCGGAGTTTTTAGTATTATCGATGATTCTTCGGTAAAATGCTTTCCTTTTGTAAAAAATAGCCTCCGTCGGCCCTGAGTATGTCAATTTACAGAGATTTTATAGTGCTCCGAGTATGTCAATTTACAGAGATTTTATGGTGCCCGGAGTATGTCATTTTTTTTTTATTTGCAAAGATTTTGCAGAGATTTTATGGTGCCCCGAGTATGTCAATTTACAGAGATTTTATGGTGCTCCGAGTATGTCATTTTTTTTTTTATTTACAGAGAATTTGCAGAGATTTTATGGTGCCCCGAGTATGTCAATTTACAGAGATTTTGCAGAGATTTTATGGTACCCCGAGTATGTCAATTTACAGAGATTTTGTGATGCCCGAGTATGTCAATTTACAAAGATTTTACATGATAAGGCTAAACCTGTAAAATCTTTGTAAGTGGTAAATTTACAAACATTATTAGAAGATTTTCTTTAAGTCTGTAAATTATGAGTCTCATCCTCTTATTCTAGCTGCTACAATTTACAAACATTTTGCAAACATTTTGAAATGAACAGAACTAAAATAAACAAAATGTTTGTACAATAAATTCACAGGCATTCTGTTTTTAAGCAGGATAAGTACCAAGTCTGTGAATTCAGGATCTACAGAAATTCACAAAATCTCGAGTCCAGGCGTTCAGTCAGTTGGGCGCAGCACTTAAAATGGCGGATCATTTTCTCGCTCGCTTTTTTTTTCGCTTCGCCCCATCTGACCGAAAGAGGCAATAAAAGAGGAAACAAACAAGAAAAAGAAAAAAAGTACAATTTGCTCCTAAGGTTTCAGTTGTCATATGTAAATACTGTTATCAGGAACAAACTCAGCTTTGGGGGAGGAGTGAGGGGGGAGGGGCCTTCAAACTGTCGAAGCTGCCTTTTCCTTCGATTATCAGCAACGTATTAAACGAATCACTACCAGCAGTGCTGCTAGTGTTTTTTTATGTATTTTCAAATTTTGACGGATAATTATTTAAATTAAATCATTTAGTCATTGTTAGTTTTAGTTCATCGCTATTTAGATTTGACTGTAATTTGTGATCTATTATTGAAGCTCTTTTGCTGAGTTTTGTTTAAATATTTTTCGTTATAAAGCTTTTGACAATTTACTGGTGAACGCCAGTAATGCTTGAAGTAGTTAAATATTAATTGAATATTAAACGGTTATTTGAACTTAAGGGCCCATTAACCGATCTTTTCGAGCCGTTGCTAAGGAAAATTTATTCTCATATAACCTCATC